TAGCGCGTTATTTGTGCACCTCAATGTCATGCAAATTGCCTTATGACCTGTTGCCAATACAAACCGGGTTTAACAACATTCAATCTTTAATTCTCGTCAATTCTTATAATACAGTTAAGCTAACAGTTTCGGTAAATAAAAGGAAACGATAAAAGCAAATGTTGGTAAATGTCACACAGGAAATTTCCACATATGATATATCGGCCAATTGGGAAACTAAATACAGAACTATTGAAAAATATTTATTAGAGATTTATTAACAGGGATTTAAAACAGGTATGTTTTAAATCCTTATTAATAAATCTGGGAACCCTAACACAGAAATTCAAATTTGAGAATAGAGAGCATTTCTAAATATCAAGGTGGTGGACCGCATTTAGTTTAATATGGTGAAAAAATAAGCAAGTTATCAAACCTAAATTGAAATTTGTTTCATTCAGCAATAAATGATCGTACAATCTCTAATCATTGTGGCTCATATCAATAACATTTTCCGCAGGTAGCAGCACTAAATTTCAATTGGGTGAAGACTCCGTACAATGTAATTACAAAGAACTGAAGGTCGATGTAGCGGCAGCAAATAAATAAATATACATAAATCTAAATCTAAACTGCACTGCGATGTTGTTTTGCGTTAGAATACTACATAAGACACGGCTGAATTTTCTCCACGTGATTGTGATAGATATACATCCATAACATTCCGTATTTTCCCTATGCATCATCATTAATAGTAACTCAAGAACAGCAAGTATCAGCTCTTAGAAAACAGAACAACCGGCCATCTCATGACACTTAAACAAATAAATAACACCAGTATTTTAAAGTTCTCGGGACACTATTCAGTTACAGCGCATCGCTATCAAAGACTATTCCCAAGAAGAGATGGTGGAATTATCGATTCGATGCAGCTTTTGGCGTCGCTGACATATAGATTACATAGATACTTCGATATAATTGAAACTCGATATTCCTTTCGATGCCGACACATGATTTTAAAATATGGGAAGATATGCAAGTACTTTCAACAATTCGATTATTCAAAAATAACAAGCTTTTTAAATTTTATCCACAATAACTATTCACAGAGATACTTCACTTTCAATATTTATGATTTCATATTTGTTATGTATTATTTTATATGCCGTTTGAAAATGAACATTTTTACGGTAGAAACTTTTTGCAATACCGATATCACCACAAAATGTGTTTCCATACTTCAAGTAGAATCCGCTTTACTGCATCATCCCTATTGCCTAAAGTGGGCCCTTTGACTCATTTATTCCAAAGTTGATTTTGCTGCCCTTCAAATCATATACGACTCAAAGCTCTATGTTAGCGATTATTTGCAACGTATAACTCAATATTGTTTTGTTGGTGAATTATACTCCGAGAGCGCTAGATCTTAGAAATTCTAGAACTTGCTAATTTGGTAGTATGTAATTGAAGACACTTGAGAAAAGAAAAAAGAATGCATTTTTCGAGCACTGGGAAAATATAGATTAAAATGGACACGATAAAAAATATTTAGAAACAATTATGAATGTGCTTAAAAATAACATAATGGTTAATGTATTTAATAATATTTACATTTACTGTATTTTTAAAATAGCATTATATTTACAGATTGTATCCGACATTAAATTCAAACTTTCTGGAAGGAACAGCGGAACTAGAACAAATATTTATTAAAATATCGTTCAATTGTTTTACACTCAAACGGTTTATAAACAAATAGGTACAAATAGAAACCAACGGACAAGTGAAATATTTGTCCCTCTAAAAAATACAATTACAAAAAAAATGTTCCCTTTACTGTTTTTAAACGCCCCTCCTCCCAATTTAAGCTTTTCCGACGCTGCCCATTTTCCTCCAGTGAGTTTCAATGATTCATTGATTGATTAGTTATTCCGTGCACGTCAACTGCTAAGGCCATTAGTCCCGTGAGTGTATTCATGCCCGCATGTTTTACTACGGTGGAGATCTTCCTCGCTGGATAGCGAGACCCGGCATCGTCCTACACGTCGGCTTGCGTTTTTCTCCAACCAGGTACCTCACACAAGTGTGGCCCCGCCCCAGCCTCGACAAGCTCTTAAGCTTTCGGCTGGTCTCCCGACACGTGGTAATGTAGTGCATGTTAATGTCAGTGTGTGTGTGTAAGTAAGGGGTGAGGAGAGGACAAAGGAAGAGGAAGGAATGATCGCGCGCGGTCGGTGGTCCATTTACTAGGGCACTGCTCCGGCATTCGCCTGGAATTGCATCGTAGAAACCACGGAAAACTAAAGATGACAGCAGCCAGCCACTAGATTTCCCCTCCACCCAGCGGCAGATTTCGACCTAGGTATCTATCGAAAATCCTGCCACTGTCCGGACTCGAACCTACGATCTGCCAGTCTGAAGCACTGTCCCCCAGTGACTGCGAGCGCGGTGACGACGATGACAAGCTACGATCCGAATTTAACTTATATGTGTCCTGGCTTAACCCGTCAGGCCAGCTCACGTTATCGCCATGAAAACACGTGGCAATTAATTCGAAATTGAGGCAATTAATTAGCAATAAATAATTTGAGCGTTTCCGACGAGCTGCGATCCTAATTTAACTTATGTGGTCGCTGGCTTGAAACATCAAGCTAGCTCACAACCGTTTTCGCCTCGAAAATACGTGGCAATTTAATCCCAAATTAATTGGCAATAAATCATTTGAGGATTTCCGTCGAGCTACGATCCGAAATTTAATCCTTTGTGTACTGTCGTCGCGTGAAGTCAGGTCACATCCGTTTTCGCCATGAAAATACGCGGCAATTAAATAGCAATAAATCATTTGCCAAATTTCATTCGGGTGTGCTGACACGGCTGTTCCAGCTTGACACACGTCGATGACGACGAAGAGCGTGGAGCCGCCTCCGCGCGGCTGGGCGGACGCTTCTGGGACGAGCACCATATGTTCGCGCCAATTATATATCACGCGGCTGAGCTCGGCGGCGGCTGGCGGACGCGGTACAGGAGTGGAGGCGGAGGAGTGGGGAAGGCAAGCGGTGGGTCGGGCGGGCTTTCGGTGGGGAGGGAGAGGTGGGTGGCAGGAGGGGAGGGGGTGGACGAGCGTCGGGGCGCGTACGGGAGGCGGGCGGTGGGCGGGGCGGTGGGGCATAGAGCGGTGAAGAGATGTGGCGAGGGAGGAGGCGGAAGGGGTGGGTAGTGAGGGCGGCCGGGTGGGAAGGAGCATCGGGCGGTAAGCGTAGACGATAGCAAGTGGCATCGAGCGCGAGGATGGCAGATGGCGGAGCGGGTGCGACGTAGCCGGTTGCGACGAGCTGGAGGAGGCGCGGGCGACGGGCGGGACGACGGCGGGCGCGGGGCGGGCGCGCGAGCGGCCGCGACGGGCGGGCGGGCGGGCGGCGACGCAAGTGCGCGCGAGGAGCCGCCCGCGTGCGAGAATGCGTGATGCGAAGAGACGCGCGTGTGCGGCTGTCACGCGGGACGAGCGATCAGGTGCCGCCGCCGAGCAGCGCCGCGCCGGCGGAATACCCAAAAGCGCGGGGCGTTCCCACGCATTGCTTCTGCTGCTGCTCCTCCTCGGGTTTACCTTCGCGGAATTCGAAATTGAGGTGCTTGCGGGTAAGCCACCTGAAGCGGGGTTTACAAGAGAGGCAACTGAAAGTTTAAGTAATTCCATGTAACAGGTGATCAAACTAAAAAAGTGCAATTATTTCATTAAAGGATATTGAACTGCATTACACAACATAGCCAGTGGGGTGGCTTGTCAAAGTCTAGCCTAGCAGGAACACAAAAGTATCTCAATGTTTTTTGGTGTGTGGCTTACCATTGTCTACTTCCAAGCGACCCAATTCCGAAGCTGACTCTTCTTTTATAGCATCCTATCTACTGAGACGTAGGCGATGGGGATAGCAGAGATTTTCCAAAATATAGAAGCTCTAGCAAAAATATATAAATTCCAAAACCGCTTTGCAATAATTTTCATTGCATCAAATACCTCAGTATAATCATGAACTAATTTCGATCCCGATTGCGTCAATGAGATAGTTAAATGAGTAGTAAACACCTCGTTTTCAAATCACACAATATTGCCTGACGCTTGTCACTCACTGAAGTCCCCAGCTTAAAAAGGTTTTGTCGGAAACGAGTCATCCACCATCAAATAAAATTAACACAGTTCTGATATATGTATATGTTCTGAAATTGTATAAAATTCGTCTTGATTAAAAATTTCCAATATTTTCTTTACTTCAATATTTGAACGAGGTTTTCGATCGCAATATCGACATATCGACGTACTAATATCGGTATTCCGAGAACACTAATATATCACAATGTACATAGTTAGGGATAAAGTCCAGAAAACTGCTTCTTAGCTGCTCTGTACAATAAGAAATGGTGAATGATTATTACATGCGATGCGCGGTAGATTCCCCTATCCAAAACACGCAAGCCTTGCGCGTGATAAAATTCCACAAACCACATAGGGCAGAACGGTTGCATTCGCAGCTTTTGATCGGCTTTATGTATGAATACGAAATATCCTGCTAAGGAGTTTACGTTCATTACTTGAAAAATATATAGCTTATAAATACTGCCTCAGGCATCACACTCTCATCACCTCAAGCATATGTTCCTCACTAGTTCCGCTGTTTGTACTTAGGAGGGGGACAGAACAGGAATGTGTCAACGGGTTTCCTCCTCTCATTATTGGCTCGAAATCCTCGCACGTGTTTAACTACAACAGGGCCGTGAATGGGCATAATCCACATCCCTCTGCACAAGATACAGTGGTGTTTACTTTCTTCCTCGTTTAAGTACGTCAAAGAAAGTTATGAATGCTTAGAGATGTTGGTACTATCGATAGTCACGATCGTAATAGGTGTAAATAGTATTCGTAAATTTTACGTCAGACATTCCTAGGATGCCTGTACACTTAATGCTGCTAGTATCACGTTTAGTATATGTATATATACATATATATATATATACTATTTTATATACTATATATCAATATCTATATATCTTATATATCTATATATACTATACACGTTTAGTACTATATATATATATATAAAAATAAGAAACTGTAATAAATATGTGAGCGATAGAAGAAACTTTATCGTACTAATAATCTAACGTTTGAATCTTTCCTTAGGCAAATTGTTTTCTTTCTTCTCATAAAAGTATATACTTAAAGATTGTACACAACTAACATTGATCTGCTTTATTTCCATTAGAAGTACTTAACAAAAAATATTCAACAAATTTCTGAAACAATCAGACACGACTAAATACATCATATTACCGACATTCACAATTAATTTCAAGAAAGAACTTTGGGAAGGATGCGCCAACTCCAAAATCAAAACTTCGTAACTGTTTATCGAATATTCAGATTCCATGACCTCTCTCCCCCGACTCCATGAACAGTATTGGTCAAATGCGAAATACATGTGGAATTGGAAAATGATACGCCATCATCAATACTCCGAGCACAAACATGCTTAATGAAGCATTTGTATGCCAACTCACGATCCGAAAACGCACAGTAAATAGAATCCCACAGAATGCACCTTCCGTGTTGAATTCGCCGATTATTTTACCTGAAAGCTTTTACCTCTGCAGAACGTATAAATAATAGGGGAGTATTATGCGTTTGAAATGAAAGGTCTGAATAATTTTTCTTTCCCCTTTACTTTGTCGCATACGTACGTATATACGGAGTAATAAACATAGTATAGAGAAAGTTATGTAAAGCATCAGCAAAAAATGACGATTTTTCGACAGAAAACTGAGACACACATAAAATATAGATAAATATTGTTTTAATAGCTAGTAAATTACTTACTCCAATACGTTATGTAGTCAGATTTCACGAAAGAAAACAATGTGTTATTTTCATTAAAATATAAGATATTGGCTACACTTCCATTCGTTTTAAAATGATCAGGAAGCTAAAGGAGGGTTTTTCAATAAGCTACGTCGGTTTTCAGAAACTATTCCATGTATCTCAATGTGCCAAAATCTCTATGTATTAGATATAAGAAATGTGGCATATGAGGACAATTTGGTAAACCGCTTCGCCTTCTTATTGTAATATGTTCTAAAACATCTTCAAATAAGGTCATGTATTATGAAAAATGAGTAGTGTTCGCACAATTTATGCTTGAAATAAAGCTAATTTATAGATTTTGATTTTTTATATCATATGCAAGTACACTATTTGAAATTTTTTGAAAAACGAGTAGTTTTCGTGCATTTTTTGCTTGAAGGAATGGCAATTTATATTTTTTATTTTAAAAACAGGCTTCAAATTTTTTTTTTCGATTTTTTTACCTTGGAGAGTGCAAAGGATACTTAAGAAATGGTGCAGGTACAGTTTTCGTTTATCTCCCTTAACATTCAAAAATCACAAATAATAGAAATAATGCGTGAAATATGAGCTGTTGTAGCACAAGTTCTATTCGGCTATTACGGGACCTAAAAATTAGAAAATGTGGGGGGAAAATATTTTAGACGCTGATAAATAGCAGCTGTGAAGCGAATGGGGACAATACCGAAAAGCTAGCCCTAGACAAAACATAAGTAACTACTACCATAAGGTGTGTGTCATTCTGTAGAACCACTAGTTTTGCTTCTGTGTGGAGAATAGATGTGCTTTATTTTTTTTTAAATTTATTTACGTCAGAAACAGTTCAAAACTGTGTGTGACATGCTATGGGGAAAAGTTAATTTGAAGTAACAGCTTCTCGATATGTATAAGGAATGCCTTTCTCGTTCTCATGATTGCGGGATTCTATGAAGTGTCAATTCACGCTCTGTCAGCAAACCCACTCTCGTTTGCTCTCACTTCACATATCATCGGAACAAAAGACGGGGCAAAACACAGGCGTGTTATATGTGTCACGAATTATAAGTACTGCTGTAATTTAAGACCGCTGCATATTTGTTATAATTACAATTACGTATAAATGCATATTGAACGGTCTTCAAGACAAGAGAATAATTTGAAATTCAGTGCATATTGATAAAGAATTTTAATTGTGCGCGTTCTGGACATGTAAAGAGAAATGTGGGTGTGCACAATATTCGTATGCTTAAAAAGTGAACTTAAATGCTCTTTGTCCAATAAAATCGAGACAACTAAATTTAAGGAACAAGTTCCTTTAAAATGGATAGCGGAGACGACATATGACTCAACACGTTGATGACGAGGCATACGGTCGTGTTTCGACTTCCAAACTTCACACAACCGAGTCATCGGCCATCTCGTATTATGCTTTTCACTGAAATGGATTTTCCGGTGTTTCATTGTTTTTGAATGATTCCAATACCTGATAACGAAACTAGTTTTTCATCTCCCAACTTAAGCAACCTTTAATCAGAATAACACAGATTAGACTTCGAGTGCATTATTAAAAGAAAACAGCATTTTTAAAATTAATGAGTGAAGATAAATAAATCCAGAAATAAAGATGAAAACCTGATAAATAACCGAAGAGCTAGGTGATTCTACGTAAACTGATTGCTGATTGGAAAATTAACTTACCATCAAGTTTCTCCCACAGAAAATAATCGTGTAACGATACTTTCAAGTTAGATAAATATGAGTTGTAGAATATTAAGTCTCCATAAATTTAAAGGGGGTTTTATTGACAATTATTTTTTAAATTACAAGTCAAAAGTAGTGGTTACCTAGATAGAGAGCTAGTTGAAGAACAATTAAAGTTATATAATAAAAGTTACTGAGTTTGGCGTTAATAATGATTTGGACAGGAATATTATGTACTAGCGATCTGGAAAATTTTTGGTTATTGAAATTTCCGAATACGTATTTTTTAAAATGTTTTTATAGTTACATATTATGAATATAACAAAGAGAAGCAACGAGACCAATGGAAGTTGCGAGAATAGAGTCCTCTGCTTGACGGAGCCATGCACCCAATTTTTCCTTGCCATTACAAATTAAATGTAACCGTTTCTTTTTTCTATTAGCATTATTTGCAAAATATAATTAATTTTCTTGTCGCTGGCAATAGTTTTCATTCCTTTCATAAATAAAGTTATATTTCACTGACGCGCATTTTGATTAATTGCAAATAAAATGCATGCATTTGAAATGTGTCAAGTCGACGTCTTTATGACAACGCTCTTGTTGACACAATGAAAGATATATACCGATTTATTAGCTGCTTATTTAAATATTTTATTTACACACTCTAGATTTTGTTTAAAAAGCAGTTATGGATAAAAAATGCACGAGATAGATTTTAACACGGTAAAAAGCACTTGCGGCCTCTATTGTCGCCTTGGGCGCTAAACTTTTGGATTTTATCATTCGCAAACTAATTCTTCTTTTACTTGCGTTTACGACGAATTTAGTCATTAGTTTAACATTTGTATTTTTTCGGAACCATTAAGAATGTTTCACGTAATCCTAAAGTTCCACGGAAGCTCTTCAGGATCCGCTTCACTAAACTACAACAGGAGAGCTAATTCACCCATAAGAGAACAAAGAATATTACAGGAATACACGCACTTTGAAAATAAAATATACAAAGAATCTTTATGCATAATTAACAGGCCGCAAGTAGCATGTAAATAGTTACAGTCAGTAAATAAGATAGTTTTTAGTTAGTTCGTATAAGATAGGCTCGAATCCTACTGGATAGGCTTAATCAGCTGCAGCTAAGCTGTATCCCGTATAATTGAATAAATTCCCGCCTCTCCAGGGTTACTGGCGAGAGGGAGGGGGGATAGTAACAGCAAAAACAACAATAACAACAACAACAACAACAATAATAATAATAATAATAATAATAATAATAATAATAATAATAATAATAATAATAATAATAATAAGCCGGCCCCCATGGCGCAGGCGGTTGCGGCAGCCGTCGTCTGCGCGGGGAGGCTGTAGGTCCTCATCGTCATCCTGTCGCCCCATAATTCATAATTCAAGGCGTAAAAACGTTGCCTTACCAAGGGATGCATCCGAGAAAGCTGCTTCCCACAATGACACATTAATATCTCCAGAATAAAATATGATTGGGTCGCGGATTGGGTGTAGCGTGGTTATAAATGGCGGATAATAATAATAATAATAACAACAATAATAACAATAACAATAATAATAACAATAATAAGCCGGCCCCTATTGCGCAATCGGTTGGGGTTTACGCCGGGAAGGCTGTAGGTCCATATACCCTTCATCTTTATTCTGTCGCCTCATAATTCAAGGCGAAACAACCCTGGTTTTCCAAGAGATACAGCCGAAAAAGCTGCTTCCCAATAATGACACGTTAATTTCTCCGGAATTAAATAAGACTGGGTATCGGAAGACGTTTAGCGTGATCGTAAATGACAGGTAAAAAGCAACAACAAACCAACAACAATATAATAATAATAATAATAATAATATAATAATAATAATAATAATAATAATAATAATATATAATAAAAACACTCACCGCGAAAAGTGATCTCGTCCAGGCCGCGCTCTCCGCAGTCCACGTCGGCGTTGACGAGGGCCCGCGCGGCGGCGGCAGCAGCGGCCGCGGCGGCGTCGTGGGGGCGGCGGCGCACGGCGGGCGACGGCGGCGTGCCCTCGCGCTGCTTCCGCGGCCCCACCCCCAGTACCCGCCCCGCCTCCCCCGCCTCCGCCCCGCTGCACCGCCAGCGCCCCCCGCGCGCGCCCAGTCGCGCAGCGCGCTCGCCCGCCCGGGCTCGAAGTAGTCCCAGTCGCACTCGTCCAGCGCCAGCCCCGGCGCCGTCGACGAGCTCGACGAGCTGTCGGCGTCCGCGTCCTGCGGGCCAAGCACACGTCACACCCCCCCCCTTCGCTTTACGTGCAATGGAAATACACACCATCCTCTTTAACATAGTATTCACGTATTCATAGGAGGTAGGGATCACACTTTACAAATGACTCAGTATCTATTTCTATGTGACGATAAGAAAGCCCATTCTAAAGAGAGCAATATATACGGTGGCGGGATGTCGCTGTGGTAACCACACGAAACCGTTTTATCCCATGGCCGAGAGGCTGGGCCACCGCTGATCGGGCTTGGGTTGTCGATCCAAGAACAGGATAGACATCAAACTACCCTTCATAAACCCTGTGCTTATGGTTTGCCGAGTCAAAACGTGTACTACCCAACAGCAGTGCAGGATGTGTTGCCTATCATTCAGGGGCTCGAAGTTCCCAATTGCTTTTGTTTGTGCAGGTTTTGTATATGATATTTTCCAACACGTTCATTGAAAAAAAATGATAATCTTCGATTTCAATGTCCTAGACGTTTGTAACATTAATTCTGACACACCTGTTACTATATGCACATAAACAAATTATTTTTCCAACTTTTCTTGCTTAACACAAAACAGTTTTAGATGCGTTCTTTACTTTGTGCACTAACCAAAATAAACAGTATTAACCTCTAGGGCAGGGGTCCTCGACCTTTTACACCTTTAGAAATCCTTCGAGCTCATGATTTTCTTGAAGGAACTTCATGTTCAAATAATAGATAAAATAGTTTATCAAAGCTTTTCTCTTCCCAATTTCGCAAAATTAATGACATTTAAGATAAAATTGCGATGGTAACATAATGATTTAATAACTACGTATCCTTCTTTATTTTTGGATAATGAAAGTACGAAATAAAAAAAAGTTTTAATTTTCATATTCTGAAACACATTTCGTGTAATGTAGTTTTACCCATCATCAGTAGTGAACAAAACTCAGATAAATTCATGAATGTCTGAAAATGAAAAAAAGGCCTTATTTTTGTATACTTCGGTTTTATCCTTATATTTTTTAGTTGATTGATCAATCTTTAATGTTTGTACAATCAACTGCCTTTTATATCCAATTCATATTAATATTATAATTTAGGCTTAAATATTATATTAATCTAATATTTATACAAGACAGTCGACTACCCCGATCCTACACAAAACATTCTTTGTAAAGATGAGTATTTCCTGAGTATTTTGATTGAGCAAACAATGAATCCTTGCGGAACCCCTGTCAACGTTCCATCGAACCCAGGTTGAAGACCGCTGCCCTACGGGATTGCGCAGTGTGTGTGTGTGTGTGTGTGTGGGGGGGTTGTCGTACCTCCGAGTGGCTGCCCTCGCCCTCCTCCTCCTCCTCTTCCTCCTTGGAGGACGAGTCCTCGGAGCTGATGAAGACGAGGCGATAGTCGTCGCCGTCGGGCTGCAGGATGCCCGCGCTCAGCTCCAGCGGCTCGCGCTCCAGCGGCTCGGCGGCGCACGGCGCCACGCGCCGGCTCACCTCCGACACGCGCAGGCTCTGCTCACGCGCGTGCTGCGCCGCGGCCGCCCCGCCGCCCCTGGAAAACGCACGACGGCACGCACGCTCGTTAATGTGCACTCTCGTCCCAGGCCGGGGACGCGTTCTTTTTTTTCTCTCTCTCCGCTGGTTTTAAACAGTTGAGCGTCGCCCGAAACTGATTCGCCAGGCAGATGAGCCGTAAAGTGACAACTGATTATCGCTAAGTGTCAGTTCACTAGTCACCTGCAAGCATGGTGGAAGGAAAAGGGTGGACTCTAGCGCATAGTATCCAACTTCAGCCAATGAGCTTCAGGTACCCGTTTGCGTCACAATTTTAGCGGGAATTTTAAACCTGTCACCAAACTTATCACCGTGTTACAAGTCATTGAAACATATATATGAGGCATAATTTTTAAGTATTGCATCATTTATTTCCATTACACCTTCATCGAAATATTTTTCGTTGAAATTTGTCACTTTATGCTACTTTCAAATTGTTTCTCAACACTTCTCGCTCTCCATGCATCATGATGGCCAAAATTCCGTCAGGATTTTCAAACCAAGTGCCGTGTTGTGGTCACGTGGTTAGTAACGCAAACAGGGGATGGGCAGAACGAGTAAAAATCGGAGCATCGGAGAAGTCCACCCATCGTTTTCCATCATGCCGGCAAGGCCTTGGGATTTAGATTCCAAAGAGAGGGGGTTCATGAGAAACTGGGAATGCCTCCTACGCAACAAACAACTCAAAACATCCATTCTTAACGCGCGATTCGAACCTATGGTTTGCGTACTTGGGTCAACCTTCTTCACACATCTCCCGGGTCAGATATTGACATTCTGTGAGAAAATCGCTCCTAATCTCGTTAAAAGTCACTTTCTCTGAGATAGGCATACGAGTTATCCCGGGTAAACAGTTCAGGGATACGAGGGCTCAAGGGCTATCTCGATGTGAGGCTCAGAAAAAAATGTGGACTCTCCACTGGGAAGGGCAACTCACGGTGTGGTTTGATTCCGCGGCAGTATGATCTTACATACGGCATCACTGTAAATAGATCATGACCAGTGGCAATGCGTGACATTTTTTTCATGGTCATCACAAAGTTTGTCGATAATCGAAACCTACCTTTCTGAAGCGACTACGAGGTGAGTTATTCAAAATATTTTACATTGGTATTTTCTTTTAAAAAACGCTCGTTTATGTGGTGTTATGTCTCTACAATACACCTTTTAAATACCTTACACCTTATTGAAATTGATATTGCTATAGAATTCTTTGAATCGTTGTTCCTGTTACCACGAACGTAATATAGAGTCTACGTTTGAGGTCGGGGAAACGAAAATTCATTGGCTTGTAATCTATATGCGAAGTATTCTGCTTTTTCGTAAGCATTAACTTATTTTAAGGGATATTAAATTACAAAATTTTGCAGAAATCCACACCTTTTTATACGGACCACATCTGTTGGCCTTGCTTCTATTTCCAAAAGAGCTTTGACCCTTTCATAGTCACACATGCCAGACGTCTAGACGTCGTAATGAATAAAGTGCCTAAATAAACTTCGCAACTTTGCAGTATTACAACCATCCTGATGCTTTGAAAAAACCTGAACAGGTGCAACCCATATCAAAAAGATTTACGTGACATGATTTAAAGTTAAAATTTAGAAGAACAGATTACATTAACAAACCAATATTTCTACAACAGCACATACTTTCTCGCAATATTGTTAATATGTAATATTATAATGTGGCAATTTCTGTCTGTGTACAGTGTAAGGACTGTAGCTACCATTTGAAGAATTCTTAAACGAAGCACGAAAAATACATATTTAAAAAAATCAAACGTTTAAACGAAAACAGCTTCCTGCCATTGAATTCAGTGTATTCAGGAACTACACAAATGTACCAACAACAACCGATACGTATTTTAAACGTAAATAAAATTAGTAGCGTGAACATACGGCGGCCGTCACTACCGCCTTCTGTACGCGTTGTCGAAACAACAACGGTCGCTAGATTCGTATGGCATACGTATTTTGCGAATCATCATTCTTGATATCGCTAGTTACAAAAGAAAATGGATTAAAGAATAGGATTGACGAAAACAAGCACGGAATACACACCTCCTCATAGTACGTCATACACAGTTTTAACTGTTAATTAATGAAATAGAGCTTAAGTGCTTTTCATAAAGACCAAAAAACAATTCTCTTATAAAAAGGTGTTAGCATCTCATGGCCCTACCTCAGATAAAAAACTTCCATTTGATGTTTAGCGTATTCAAATTCAACTACATAAGCGACGGGAGTGTTTTAGTAGCATGCACTTCACATTCCATAATTTAAAAAAGTATCGAACTTTTATGAAAAAAGAGATTCTAAATGAAATTTCGCACTTGTCTTACTTCAAAGTTCGATGTTTAATTGTGATTCATCACAATATATTGGTAGAGTATGTTTAGAAATGATGAAATATGTGTTCTTTCACTTTGAAGGAGGCTACTGAAATGCTACAGGATTCTAGTGCAACGGAACTTGTGACAAGAGTTTTCATCTTGAATCGTAAAGACACATATGCCGTGAATTGGCCGCAATCTACGTTAACGTGATGCCAAACCTAGGCATACTTTGCGAAATGTCGCGCAACCAGATATGCATCATGCTCGCAATGTTCAAACCCTAGTAAATCATTCATTTGTCTACGTCGCGTTGGTAGTTTCGCTATTCTACGTTGCCCAACTCCCTAGTCCGCTCCTGCACCTGACCAGGGCTGCCTGCGTGCCAATGCGGCGTGTCAACACTGATTACCACCGTTACATTGCAAGAGGAACCTGGATCGCCTGATTAGCTTAGCTTTCTCGGAGGATGCGGTCAATATTGACTAATAATAATACTACTACTACTAACTAGCCAATGTCTGTTGAGAGCTGATTTGTGAAAACATAATAAAGACGATTCTTATTTCTCACTTCGTGGAAGAGCAGTGAATTCAAAGTGAGAGAAAACAAAAAGTAGTGCGACGCACGGCATACTGAAACGTTTCCTCCTCTTAATAATATTACTCAACAATTACTCAGATTTAAAACTAGTGGTGCTACAGGGTGGCACAGACTTTCTCATACAAGTTAGTTTCCTTATTCTTTAGTTTAGACTAGCTTTTCGGTTCTGCCCCAACCATCTCAGCTGCCGCCTATTGCCGCGTAAAGGACGTTTTTACACATTTTTTTTCAATTTTTCGGGAACTTAATCGTAGAACTGAAATATAATTTTAAGAATACTACAGAAGAGTAGAAAACACCATGTTCTATACGCAAATTTTCATTAAAAATTTGGAGCCGTTTTAAAAATATCATTTGAGTGTTTCTGAAAATGCGCATTTTTGAGCTCGTTTTCACAGAAAATTTTCGAGTTTTCGGGAAACTTCATACAACATAATTTAAGCCATTGTACTCGCCAATACAATAATGCAGTATACAAACCGATAGGAATATAAATATCAACGTCTTGTAAGAGATATAAAAAATGTGTACTTTTTTTAAGCAGAAAAGAAAACGAAAAATGCAACAAAATGGAATTTGTGTCAACTTAAAATTGGAGCAGTTTTTGGGAAAATCTTGTTTTTTAATATTGCCCAAATTTCACTCAACATTTCTCGAAACCCACTCAAATTGTCCCCAAAATGTTACTGATGTTACTGAAAGAACTAATAGTGAAGAACAAATTTCATTTGAAGAAAAAGTCTTCAAAAAGGAAAGTTTGATTTCTCTTGAATCCATAAGTAAGCTTACCCACCGTTAAGGTGAAAATATGGCAATTACATGGTTCGTCACTTGCATAATGGAAATGCTGATGATAATGATTTGTAATCTGATAAGTCATCAATCTTAATGTCATTAGAATATGAGGAAAATGAGCATGTTTTTACATATTCACCGTAATGACCCGTTATCATTTCCACATGTCAGTGGAATTTTACATTTTAACGGACGGATTAACAGACGGCATTATTTACTGACCCGTGTACACTCACAGAAATTATAATCTCTCCAGACACAAATATCACAGAAAATTCTTCTGATTAATCAATTACATTATCATGGATGACTTTTCCTCATTTCGTAACAACGAGATCACAGTGTTCGTCTTCACTACATTCACACGAAGTAATCCATACATTTTTTTCTTTACTACTAGTTTCATTGTAATAAAATTTAATTATATCATTGTAATACCAATGTACCTTTTTTGCTATTGTTTTTAAGTTCAATAACATGAAAGACAACACGTTACGGTACGCTACTCGTTCTGAAAGACTTCCATGCACTAAAAGTAAATTCGTTATCTACCGCGTGGGGGGCGAAAAATAAAACGCAAGCTTGCAATACAAATAAAGCGCCAAACGTCACACGCTTTTAAACCATATCCTTACCGCAAATTCGTTCGGCAAAAAACCACGCTATTTCATTACGTACCACATGTCGCTTTTTGCGTCGTATCGTTAATACGCACGAGGGCACAAATAACGTACGCTACCAACTGGACAACCTACGCTGATTGCCCTCACACTACTGTTATCGAAGCGACGCGTTTAAATGTGAACGGTCATCCCTAAAAACCCAACAGCCTAATTGCTCTCGCTCTCTTTTACACATCCGCTGTGAAATTGTTAACGATTATACCTCCCCGATAAGGCCGCTGTCCCTGCTAGATACAACGAAAATGAAATGGGCACGGAGAGCCAACGCGTAAGCGCACTCTTGTAACACGTGCAAAAACATTATCGAGTTTCCAGCGAATCATCATCCGCAAATGAAGAAATAGGACTAGAATAATTGTAACACCAAAGAGTAATCGCGTAGTAGATATGGGAGTCCATGTTTGATAAAATTACGCGCATGTAGTACATGTTCACATTTCTGGGTTCAATTTCAAAAGTATAATTCAAAACATTTAAAAAATAGCTATTGTAATAATAGCTCCTTGACATTTGTTTTACTTTTGCTCTTACTTCGTAAGACAGAATTGTAATCGAGCGCCAGAAACGGCGAAATTTCGGAGG